TCTTCTCGGGGTCTTGTTTTCTTTCTCCCTCCTTCCTGCCGCCCCCAGATAGAGCACTGAGCTGAGCACTTGTCTCCCCTCCTCATTCTCCTCTGCGTGGCACCACCCACCCTGTTTTTATTTTGGTGGAAAATCTGAGAAACCTAATGCTGCCTGGTTCCCCAGCCCTGGCAGAGGGTTGCCTCGGGACTGCGAAGAGAGCCTGCAGGAGGAAGGGGCTGCTGCCTAGATCCAGGGCCGGCCTCTTACTGCCAGTGGCTCTGTGCATATGGCCTGTCAGGAAAATCCAGAGGACCCCACCACCACCACCACCACCACCACCAAAGAAAATTGGTAAGTATCAGCCAATGGATGTGAGCACTTCTCTTGGCAAGAGCTCCAGTCCACAGTGCTGGCGACTAGGGATGACTCCGCCCCTTTCTTTTCCTTTTTGCCCAGGCACTTAACCAGCTTAGTTCCCCGCTGTGTGCAGTTAGAGTTCTGAGATGTGAGGTGTGTTGACTGTGAGGCCTTGTTGTGAGATGAGGTGAGAGCCGGGAACAAAATGGTCATTATAGGCCATTCATGTCGACAACATTTATACCTGTGTTTGCTGCAAGCAAAAGCAGGAGCTAATTTGCAAGGCCGCCTTTGTGGAGCTGCGTTTGATCAATGGCTGCCTGTGTTAATGTTTCGGTAAGCTATTGATTTCTGCAGCAGCTTTTGTTCCCTGAATTTATGTGCTGCGGGTCTCCGCGGAACACACTATGCATGTTTGATTAAAGTTCAATTGACTTCATTCCTGGTGAGGCTTGAGCTGCCTCACTCCCTGTTTGTAGAACCACAGCTTTCCCTGGCGTGTTCTTTTGTTTGTGCTCAAGACCTAGCCACCCATGCAGTCACCAATATGCGGTTTAATCCTCCTGGATTTGCTCCATTCCAGTGTTTAATCCCTTCGCAGACATTACAGTGGTTGAGAGGCAGCTCATAAAACCTGGTCTGGACTTTTATTTATGTATTTATTTTTGGATCAACTTTTTATGTATCATAAGCATGTACTCGCTTTAAGTGCACAGTTCAGTGAGTTTTGACAACTGTATAAATCCATGTAAATACCACAGTTGATTTATAGAATATTCCCATCACCCCAGAAGTTTCCTGGTGGCCTTTTTATAAGCAGTTTTCCTACTCTCTGGATCCCAGGCCACCATTGACTTCCTTTTTGTGATCACAGGGTGGCCTTTTCTAGAATGGAATTCTGTAGTACGTACCCTTTTGTGTCTGGCTGCTTTCATTCAACACGATGCTTTTCAGACTCGTCCATATTGTGTATCAGTGGCTTGTTCCTCTTCACTGCCAAGTCATATTCCAGTGGGCGGGGTGTGCCGCAGTGTCATTCATTCTCCCGGGTGGGGGCATCTGGGTTTCCATGGACATTTGTGCACAAGTCCTGCATGAGCACATGCTCTTATTTCTTCTGGGTAAATACCCAGGAGTGGAATAATTGCTGGGTCGTGTGGTAGGTGTTTGTCTAGCTTTCTAAGAGTTGCCAAACAGCTTTACAAAGTGGTTTGACCGTTTTACATTTCTGGGATATGGCTTCTCCCATCTTTCCTGAATTTTGACATTTACATTCTTTCGTTTTCTCACCAACTACTCTTAGACTTGCAGGGAGGGAGGTCCTTCGGGCGTGGTCGGTTGGATCCTTGGCACTCCAAGGGTCTCTTCTGGTCACATTCTTTTTAAAAAGCTGTTACTTAAAAGGTGACAACACTGGGTTTTATTTCAACATTGGGTTTCTTCCATGTCCTGATTTCTCACGGGCTAGAGGAGGAGGACAGGGTGCAGCACTAAAGGTTTAGAGTTGTGAACCGAGCTTTTCCGAGCCTTTTTTCTGCCGGTGTCTGGCATTGGGCCAGTCGCATAGCCTTGCTAAGCTCTGGCTCCCCCTCTTTTAATCTGCAAGTTATGCCATCTTTTAAACCATTTAAATTTTTTCAAAACATTCATTCTTGAGAAATAGGAATAATCCCTGGTCACCACGTGGGGCAGTATTGCATAATAGACCACTGCTGTGGCGCAGTGTCAGCGTGGCTGCTTTCCAACAGCCTTGAAGTCAGACTGAGGTTTGACAGGGACGCTGGTGGCACCCCTCCACCTGATTTCCTCCCCATGTTTATTTCCTTCCATCTCCTATCGCTTCACACTCTCTTAGATTCCAGGCCTCTGCATCCACTGGCCCTAAAAGGAGGAGGTGGAAGGAACCACTTTGGGTCTCCTTGTTCTTCCCTCGCCTTCAGGGTCGGACTCTGGTCTACGGCACCAGTTGCCCTTCTGAGCTGATGCGCACGCCACTCTGGCAACGGATTCGAAGGGTGACGGTCACCTGCCTTGGCTTCTGTTCTGTTTTTTCATAAGAAAACAGTCAGATCAGTTTCGTGTTGGTACGTGTCTCTTAATCTCCTAGTGGATTTATGGGTTTGTTCCCTCCAGCCAGCCCACACCAACGATCAGTATAGATAAACGACATTCCAGGCGGGGAAGGTAGGAGCAGGAGGTTCTGGCATCATGCCGTAGGGCTCAGGATGCTCCAGTCACCACAGGGACGTTAGCCTGCATTTGTAGAACAGCATGACAGACAGGCAGATCAGACATTCAAGGGCAGTTCTACATTTTCCCTATTGCTCATTACCTTCTCATGGAACCGGAAAGGGGCTGGGGTAGTGGCGGGCTCCTGGTCTCCATGGCCTTGGGTCAGACTTCATCATTAAACATTGGCAGTCACGGGCATTTTGTTGAGTGGCATTCGGAAAGGAGCACATCCCCACTCCGAGAGAGGCGTGCTGTGTGCTGGTGCTGATCCTTTAAGGCTCTGGTGACAACTGTGTCCTCCCCAGGAAATGCCCAGGCATCAAATCCAGCTCCTGAGCGTGAGTGCTGAGCACACAGTGGCCTGCTTTGCAGAAGCCGTTTTCCCACCCAAAGTCTGCCCCCTTCCCCACCACCTTCCTGCCATCATGCTTCGGTCTGCCGTGTTTTTAATGACACCGCATCTGATGGGCACTCGGTCACGTGCGTGCCTTACGTGGCCTCTGCGCTTCTTTGTCTTTTTCAGTCCTTCCCACACTGACCTAGCTCTCCGGTGTGGAGACAGAATCTTCTCTTTCCTAGCTCCTCCATTCGCAGGCATGCCGCCTCTGGCGGGCCGCACTGGTCCGCGGGTGACGTCCCCCAGGGTGAAGTCCTACGGTACCGTCGTCCGCCAAGTTATTTGACTTTGTGCAATATTTATTTAATTAGAGGAGATCAATGTGAGCATGGCTCTCTCGCTGCCTTAAGTATTTTGTTTGTTTTTAAGTTAAAGATATTTTATCTTGGGATTTTTGTCTAAAGAAATGGGTCTTTCATTAGCTGAATGCCATGCACCCGTTTGTGTGGCTGGTGCCTGCTATCCCTGGAGTTGCAGTGCCAAACGTGCAGTCTCTTTTTAGCAGATGCCTTGGCTCTCTTTCTGCGGGGCCATGAAAAAGTAGCTCTTTTTGCCTTGAAGACTGACCTGGTGACGTGGCATTTCATCTGCACAGCAGCACCACGGTGTCTGTCCGCTCTTAGTCCTTCTTTGTCAAGCCCCCGTCGTTGCCTTTCGGACTTGGTGCCAGCGTGTCCCAGTGTGGGCACTCGGATTGGAATGGGGGCTGTGGAGCAGTTTTTGGTTTGGGGTTTCTGTTCTGCCTGACTTCCCACCTGGTCCGAGGTCCCCGCCACCTACGTTATATCCTTGACTGTTTCTGGAGTCATCTGTCTGGCCAGGTGGTTCCTCATGCTGGATTTCACTGGAAGGCTGTGAAGAACGCACGCGCACGCGCACACACACGTACACACACACGTACACACACACACACACACACACGTGCGCGGTTAGAATTATTGATGCACCTCCAGTGCTCAGAACAGAGGTGGCCCCCGGCATTTAGTAGGCATCCACAATCCTTGTTGAGTGAATGGATGTTCCTGACGTCTAGAAGGTGTGCTCTCCTGGGCGGAAGTGACAGGCCCCATTTGCCCAGCTTTTGCCTCTTGACCCCAGGAACAAACTGTTCTTGGTCCTGGTCTCGCGGATAGACAGCTGGTATAAACCACCTTCTGCTCCCACAGAGGGGACAGGGGACGCCAAGTCCCTCCAGACACCTCCCTCACGCCAGCCCTTCTTTTCTGCAGGGGGAACTGATCACCTTCTATTACTACTGGAAGAAAACCCCAGAGGCAGCCAGCTCCCGGGCCCATCGCAGGCACCGCAGGCAGGCTGTGTTCAGGAGGATTAAGACCCGCACTGCGTCCACACCTGTCAACACACCTTCCAGACCCCCCTCCAGTGAATTCTGTAAGTGGGGGTTTTCACACGCTGTGTCCCAGTTCTGGGCCTGCACTCACAGGCGTCCTTGTCAGCCTGCGGCTGGAGCTGATGACCCGGGAACCGTGTGCGCACGTGCACGGGTGTGCTAGTGCACAGCCTGGCCTGGGTGTCACACTGACTCGGGATGTGGTAGAGAGTTTTACAGATTATTCGTTCATTTAAATTTTCTAGTAAACACAACGTCATTTTAATTTTTTACAAAAGTAAGTCTTAGCCTTGGCCTGAGGGTTTTGGTAACTTAAGGAGGTTGTTCCACTTGGTAGACGGTGTACTGTTTGGGTTTTCATTGCACTTGGATTGTGGTAGCAATAAGAACAGATTAACATTTTTTCTTTTTCCTCCTGCCATACCAAGCTCTTCCTTGCGGTCCCAGTGTGACGTGTGATATGACAATGAAGCCCACACCCACTAACCCTAAACACTAGGATGCAGCAGTAGATAGAGTCCAGGGCACAGACCTCCAAGGGTCGCTACAGTTGCACATGCAAACAAGAAGCCATCGGGTCACCTGGGGCTGGCGGGTGGCACTGGCCAGAGGCAGGTCCTCAGGGTGCTGGGTGTGTCAGGAGGCACCACGGGTGCTCTTCACCCTGTTCAGATTCACCGGTTGTGGGTGCCCACCACCCAGGTTTCAGGTGTGACACCAGCCCCCAGCAATGTAGCAGGGCAAGCTCTTGGGTATCTCCCCTCCCCACCACCGCCCCTCACACACAAGTACTTTGTTCTGAAGACTGGCCCTGAGAAATTCAGAGGCTCCTACCGCAGCCTACTGGGCCACTCGGCCTGGTGGCTCAGAGCCTGGGGCAGGCCGAGTGTGACTGTCCCCCAACCCTCACCCTGTTGTATGCCTGCCATGCCCAGTGGACCTGAGCTCGGCCAGTGAGGACGACTTTGACAGTGAGGACAGCGAGCAGGAGCTGAAGGGCTACGCCTGCCGCCATTGCTTCAGCACCAGTGAGTGGGGCTTTGACATTGGCGTTGGGCTGTGCTTCAGGGTCACTGCAGAAAGTTGGAGATTTTACTTTACTTCACCCCCCCACCCCCCACCCCCGTGAATTCAGTACAGAATGCTGATCTGTGGGTAGGACAGACGTGGTCAAGGTTGGGGCCAGGGCAACTATTGTTGCTCCTCCTGGGTACCCCAACATAAGGGGGAGGGGTTTCCTTAAATGCTGTCATCCTGGGAGAGAGCAGGGCAGCACCGGCACCTGAGCGGTGTGGGTGTCAGGTGTCTGTCCGAGCCCAGTACTGCGCGTTCTCATGGCACCTGGGTTGGTTGAACCCCCTGCTCAGATGCCCCAGGGACACTCGTTTTTGAGGTTTGGCCCCCCCCCCCTTCCCTCACGCAGCCTCCAAAGATTGGCACCACGGGGGCCGGGAGAACATCCTGCTCTGCACAGACTGCCGCATCCACTTCAAGAAATACGGCGAGCTCCCGCCCATCGAGAAGCCCGTGGACCCCCCGCCCTTTATGTTCAAACCCGTCAAAGAGGAAGACGATGGGCTCAGCGGGAAACATAGCATGAGGACGCGGCGGAGTCGAGGCTCGGTGAGTCCCGGGGCCGGCGACCGAGCCTTCCGGCCACACCTCCAGCTTCCGAGGATGCCGGGGCTGTCCAGGCACCCCGAGACTGAAACGGTTTGCCCGGAGGCATTAGCCTTTCCTGTGGGCTGTCCTCTCCCTCCCTCCTCCTGGGGCGTCAGTGTGGCCATGGGTCTCGGTTCTGCCTCAGGGCAAGCTCTCCAAGTCCCTCCGACCTCCCTCTGGCCCGTGGCCGGTCTCTAGGGGCGCATAGCTCTGCTATTTGAAACTTGCTAGCTTTTTTTAAATGTTTGATCCAGTTTTGGAAACATTTAGGTACATGTTTTTACTCACAGCATAGCCTCGTCCTCCCGTAAAGAGGCTGTTTTCCAGGTTGGAAATGCAGCCGGGACCTTGGAGAGTGAGGGCTCTCCCAGGTCGGGCCTTTTAGGCAAGTGGGTGGCACCTCCACCTTCCTCTGACCCTAGGTCCTGCCCGCCCGACTGCTGCTCGCTCACAGGAGCAGGTGGGCCAGTGTGAGTCACTGTGCCCTGTCTTTGCGGAGCCCCCGTGGCCTTGCAGAAACGTGCTGACGTGCTCGGTGGTCTAGGAGCTGAGCTGCGTTATTTGACAGCTCGTGTCTCTGGGTCACCCCCTCCTGGCAGATGGCACAGCAGGTGCTGTTTTGGTTGGGTTGGGCAGTTACCTGGAATGAGCACCAAGCGAGGTGACTGAGAGCTGACTGTGTAATTATCTTTCTGGAGAGCGTGGCGGAGGGGACTGTCCCCACTGACCGAGGCCCCTCAGAAACCCTCGCTCATTTCCAGCCCGTCATTCGGGGGGGTCCCGGAGGCGAGTGCCGTGGGGTGAACCCACCCACTCACCCTCCTCCCTTCACTCCAAATTGACCCTGTCCGTGAGGGACAGCCAGGGTGCTTGTTGTTCGCCAGGGGCTGGGATGTGGCATGAGGCCCACAGTGGGGTCTGCTCTTGATGCCCCTGTGTGTGTGCTGGGGTCCAGTCTCACCAGCCCCGGGTTTGGGTGGGCAGATGTCGACATTGCGCAGTGGTCGAAAGAAGCAGCCAGCCAGCCCTGACGGTCGCACCTCGCCCACCAATGAAGACATCCGCTCCAGTGGCCGGAACTCCCCCAGCGCTGCCAGCACCTCCAGCAACGACAGTAAAGCAGAGACTGTGAAGAAGCTGGCCAAGGTAAGGGGTGGGGGCGGGGAACG